CCCGGTCTTTGTTTGGCATATTACTGGCCTGTTAAATGCTAATAAACCTTTGTTTCTCAGCATGTAGTTTTCATGATGTGGACCTGATTAAGAAAGTATTTTCAAGCCTCTTATTTCATAGGAAACTTTATTAGAGATAAGACCCATTCAAATTGCATTCTCTTAGAAATGGATTGTGGGTTATTCTCAGAATTCTCTGCTGTCTGTCCTTTCCTGTACTCCACTTTCGCTGTTTGGTATCTCTGTTCCAAGAAATTCAGAGCACCTGTCATACCACATCTTAAGAAGAGGAAATGAAAGAGATAGAAGAGGCTTGTTTAGAGGAGAGCTGAGTTTACTGTATAAATAGTTTTCTGATGACTCAATCAGGTTTCCTTCCACTTTAATAAACTGCATTCCTCGTATTCCCTGGTGTAATTTGGCCACATACTGATCAGGTATCAATATCAATTGGGATAATTTCATTATAAACTGACTTGTTTTTACAAAAGCCGATTTTCAGTCTCATTTTAAGCAGCACAGAATTCTTGGGATCAGTCACAGACATTTTCACCAGATTTCTAAGATGCTATTTAAGTAGATTCCAGTTGTTACCTAAATGGTGTTGAGGAGCTAGAAGTTCTCCAGATAATAGGCCAGCTGCCTGGGCGTAACACTGATGACCTTTTGAAGGACTCAAAAATTTTGTTTGGGGTTGTGTCTTCAGTAATTCATAACAGCTTGTGTGGTTTTGTTTTGCTTTGAAATCAAACATGGTAAAGATTTCCTTTTATGCTCTACTCTTAGCTACTTGGCTTCTTTAATGTTACTTTGTTTTCCTAAATTTACAGTAGCTGTCAGTCTTGTGCTGAGTTCTCCTCTAAGTACACTAAATTGTGCAATTCTTGCTTGGCCCAGTTTTGCACGGCAGTCTTTCCCAGACCCCCATGGGCTTCTCAGAGGTTAAACACTTTTGGCAAAAACTGTAAATAATGACAGAATAAAACAATAAAAACGGAACTCTCAAGAACAGGGGGGAAAGATGAATCCTGACTACAAGCCACATGGATGCAGAGGACGCATTTTTGTAAAAAAAAAAAAAAAAAAAAATGTTTCTCTATTCAAGGCTTCTTAAGTTGATAATTCTTATCATCTTCTCTTTGCCTCAAATAAAACCACCATTATTGTGCCTTTTATGATTCTTGATACCTGTTAGCAGTGGCAGAGATGCAAACTATAACAACTGTTTCTTCCTAATTTACTTTAACCTTTTCATTAACCTGAATCACAGTCAAACTATGACTTAAAAATATAAGGTTACAAATAGAAGGGTTTTATAAAGAGGTCCCACCAAAAAAAAAAAAAAAAATCGTTTTTGGCCAGGAATAACAATCAGAGTATTTAAAGATTTGGTAGAAGTTAAGGAACCTTTTTTGGTTGATTTTTTTGTTGTCATTTTGGTTGATTTTTTGTTGTCATTTCTAGATATTTCTCTACTTGAAAAATTCAGAATATGAACGTGTTTCTGGTAGACACTTCTGTAGATACATCTTGGTTAATATCTCTATGATCTTGTAAATGCATTTTGGTTTGTGGCTTCTTTAGATGCCTGTTAATAGATTTGGTTTTTCAGAGTAACCCAAAGTACTTTTCTAGTAAATTATAAAGGACTTATGTTTTAAAACAATGTCTTCATTTTGTAAGTTTTAATATTTACATTAAGAGCTACATATGGAACTCTTGATCTTGTAACTACAGACCTTAATTTTTATGTTTTAGATTTATAGATTGGTATCTTTTGATTGAGACATAATCTCTCTCCACACTGCCTTCTCTCTCATGTCTATTTTAACAATGCAACTGGCAGTTTATTAATTCTTCAACTTAGTGATGATTTGTTTTTACATATTGAAGAGTAACATTAACTGTCAACTTTTTATTAAAACTAAAATTTAGAGTAGTTTTTAAAAAAGAAAAGGATCATGAACCAAGGCTAAAAACAGATAGATGAACAAAACAAATCAGCAGAGAGTTTTGGATTTGTAACTCTTCTTCCTCCAAGGAACATCAACCCAGTGTTAGAAGTGACCCACTCCTGTAGCACCAGCATAGCTTGCAGGCTGAGAGCAAGGTCTCAGGAGGTTAACTGCCTAGGTCCTGGTTCTTGTTCTGCTACTTACTCCCTCTATGACCTTCGAAAATTTTCATAAATTTTCTGTGAATCAGTCTCTGCCCTGGTAAAAGAGGCATAATACCAGCATGACTTCTTAGGAGTATTATTAGAATTAAATTAATCAATATTTATAAAGACCTTAAAAGAGTGTTTAGTTCAAAGTAAGTGTGTAAATTTTTTTTTCAAAAAACGAAAAAATGATGAAAACATCTCTACTTTTAAGGTAATATGTTTCTCAGTTTTGCAAACAGCAAATAAATACTTTTCCTGCATTAATGCTAGAGCTCCTGTTCTAGTAAAGCAACCACTTATATCAATTAGTTATAGAAACCAGGTTTTGTTGAAGAAGATAAGTTAGAAAAGGAGTATTTGATCTATTTAGGGATAAGAACATAAAAAACGATTTTGTCTACTAAAAATAAAATGACATTTTAACAGGCAAATTAATTTATAAATCTTGTTTACTAAAGTAAGAGTTAGGAGAGATTCATTTTTTGGCTTAAGTCTTTTAAATTCTTCATGATATGTGTCATTGTGATCTACAATCTAGAAGAAATATTAATTCTCAAATGAATATATCCTATGAAAGGCAACAAGTGATTTTGTTTGGAATGTCACTCCCATCTCTCTTCATCCTCAGGGCTTTGGTCTCACACCAATCACATCCAATCTCTCTCTCCTAATTGCTTATTGGTTTCTTCCCCCTTTCTGTCATTGGCATGGCTGAATTCCTTGTTTTGAATCAGGAAAATTTTTAAACTGTTAAATCCTATCTTCTGAGTAATAATGAAGCTAGCTGTTTATAACATCTCAAATATTTTACAAATCATGATGATAATGTTATTCTGAAAAAGTTTAACTGAACAGAGTCATATAAGACAGATGAAAGCATAGAAACAGTGTTGATAGAGGAAAACCACAGATACTATCTAGAAATCCAGAACATTGTAAGGCCATGGGCCTTTATTCATGTAGGTTGATTTTAGAGTTCCCCAGAAATGATTGGTTACTATCAGATACCAACATGAGGGGAAGATGGAGAGACCTGAAAACTCTCACAACTCTGTTTTTGTTTTTGTTTTGCATGAACCATCGTATGTAAGAGTGGGGTGACACTAAAAAGAAAGGAAAGATCAGTGTATCCTTTTAGCCTTTAATTCTACAAACACAACTCTGAAGTTTTTCTTTTGTGTTTTTCTCTGATTCTTCCTCCTTTTCACGATCTGGCAGGTGGAGTGTATGTCTTTGTGTTTCTGCATTTTCTCCTTTCATCCTCTGCATTCTGTACAGTTAGAGACTGCAGAGAAACAGAAGGGTGTTGAAGGAGTTAGGGAGTTTATGATGGGATGGTTAGGGATAAACCTGTAGAGTTAAGAGACTGCCTTAGGTACGCTGGTAGGTTTTTTGTTTTGTTTTTTTCCTTACCTGAAGCATTTGTAGCCAAGGAATTTGTAGTAGAGGAATTCTGTCAATTCATATCTGCATGCAGTTATGTGGCATTCTACAGAGAAGAGCATGCTTTTTTATAATAGCATGGCTGCCAAGCAACAACCTGCTTTTCTTTCCTTCATCTTTGGTTTTCCCAGTTTGCTGACACTCCATCGAAGATGCTTAATTTCAATACCAAATATAGAAGCCCAAAGGACATGTGACAATGGGAAGAGGATGGGGATTGTTGTGTCTTATCGCTATTGTAGGAAGTGGAATCTTCTTATTAAAACTTGCATTAAACAAAATACAAAAACAAAACAAAAACCAGAAACTCACACAAAAGAACCCAGAATTCATCCTGGTGAAAATTCACAACAATTTCCAATATCAGACAAATGTCTTGTAACATTGGTTTTAAATAATATTATTACATGTGTTAAAGTTGTCTAGAAATAGAAATTTCTTTCCATTACTCCTCTTGCCACAAGAGGAGTAATTCTAACTCCTCACGTTAGAATTCTAATGTGAATTCTAAAGGAATGGACGTTAGAACATTAGAATCTAAATTTATTAAATTGTAATCTGTTTAATTTCTCAACGTTTTTATCAGTTTATGAAGTTTAGTGAACATTGTTGTTTAGAGAGGCACTGTTAGAGATGTCTCAGGAGATAACAGGGATGTTAAAGTTCGTGGCCACCAAAGGAAGTGGAAAAGTGATGTTACTGTGTCATTATTCGCATTTGCTAAGGACAAATTCCTTTGTTAGAAGTAGGTAGGAGAACCATTCTAGAAACAATAGTTAGACCCAACCAGAGAGTCTCACTGTTCTTATTTAATTTTTTGTGAAATAAAAAATCTAAAACCATGAAATTGAGTCAGTTGTATTGGAAAGTGAAGTCTTAATGGATTCTGGTTTAACTATTGAATTAATTTTTTAATAATATATCAAATATTTCACATTTAAATTTGTTCTTTTCCAATTTTAGAGCGTAGGTGAAGCAATTGAAGGAAATTTCTATTTCTGAAATACTTTAATAACTATAATGCTATTGTTTTAGCACAATGTTGTAAATAACAATAAGATATAGAAAGATGGGTAAGAAGCATAGAGAAGTGGTGTCTAGGACCAAGGGCCATTGCACAGTTTGTGAGAGTAATAATCTAACACATGTGCACACACATGTGTACACATATTCCTTTTTTTTTTTTTTTTCAAATGAATTATCTACTTCTAAAGATCACGCATCTAGAGTTTCACTTAAGCTCCTTTATGAGTTTCTAACTCACAAAGCAAACTTCATTTGGGCTGTGGATTACTTAACTATTTTGCTCAATTCTTATTGAGTCTGTTGATAACATGTATTTTGTGTTCCTCCTCTTTCTCACTATGTGGCCTCCTCACCACTGAAAATCAAGATTGTTGTGTCCACTGTATCCTGGCATGCTTGTTCTGCGAATTCCTGACCCTCTGCAATATTGTCCTGGGACAAGCGTCATGTGGCATCTGCACCTCAGAAGCCTGCTGCTGTTGCTGTGGGGACGAGATGGGGGATGACTGTAACTGCCCTTGTGATATGGACTGTGGCATCATGGATGCCTGTTGTGAATCATCAGACTGCTTGGAAATCTGTATGGAATGCTGTGGAATTTGTTTTCCTTCATAAATATTTATCTTTTGTTTGTGTTAAAACTGGAGAGTGTTTAAAAATTTTACTTTTGGGGGGGAAGAAAAGCACATGGTAAGATTCTCATGAAACAATGTGGTATTTGCACTGTTAACTCATTATTGTAAGTAATCTCTGAAAGCCTTTTTACTTTAACCAAATCTACATGGTTTAATATGTGAAATTTTAACTACTTTAACTAGTTTTATAAACTTCTTCATATGTTACAATAAGTTAGGGACATTTTAACACCCCTCTCCCCAAATGTTCAATGTCTTCTCCTTTTTACTGATATTTCTATTTCTTCTAACTATTCTCAGGAGCCCTTTGCTCCAAATATATTATTTTTTCTGTGGGTATTTAAAGCAGGCAGTTTATTTTGATGTGTATCCATAATTAAAAGTAAGCAGGCTTTATTTTAAAAGAAACTTTAGGAAACAAACCCACATAATAGTTGGGAAACAGTGTTAATCTCTCTGCCTTACCTTCTCCAATTGTTCAACGGACGCTGAATGCCTACTGTGTAGACTCTCTGCTTCAGGTTGTGGGGACAGATACAGTTTCACTTCTGTCCACAGGAACATGAGATTTAGCAGACTAAGGAGATCTGTAAAGACTGAACCATACTACAAGGCATACTGAAGTGGGGATTGTAAGAGAAATAAACTCAAAAGGCTGTCGGAATACACAGAAAATTGCTACTAAAATATTCAGAAAGGCTTCAGGGAGGATGTGTATTTGAGGACTCTCTTAGGATGAGTGATTCATCTGTTATTTAAATGAATTATTTAGATTTTTGACAAAGTTTTAGGTGGACACCCTAAACTGTGTGTGCCCTTAACCAGTTAAAAGAACAATGCCTTCCGCATACCTTTTTGTTATTTGCAGGAATATAGTTTTTAAAAAAAGCTATCAAGTTTAAATTAACTAAAAACATGCATTTTCTTATACATAACTTAAATATTATCATACTTTTTTGATGAAAACATAACGCCTTAGTAAAATAGCTCTATCTAATAAAGAAGTTGATTACTCTGACACATTACATTTAAATTAGGAAATTTTTAATATTAAAATCCTAGTGTTCTGAGTTATTCAGAGGCTTTCTTATTTTGAGAGCTTTAGGTCTTTTGGGATGAGAGCATTTTGGTTGTTTGCTCTGGTTCGTTTCTTAAGCAGTGCTATTTTTTGTAAACACAGATAAATGCGAAACCATTCTTTTCAATGCAGAAGAAATCTAGACATCCACTACTATGACCAAATGTCTGTGTTATAATTTTATGTAAATTAAACTAATATGGCAGGTTATAATAATCCTTAAGTGTAAAGAAATAAGTCAATTACAAGACTAATTATACAGTTATTGAGACGTGGAGACTGTGTGGCTTAGATGAAAGGGAGAGTAAATGTTCATACTATGCACTCTCCTACTCAGTTTGATCTCTCTAAAATTGTAGTTTGGTTTGCTTTAATACACGTCTTTGTAGAAATTTTGAAAGTATGCTTTGGGATTAATAATTATTTTTAATTTTTCTGGCTGAATATCAAATTAGTAGTAACAACAAAAGCATATTTTTAGGAAGCCTTCAGCAAACCCACCCTTTTACGAGAAGTTTTTAAGCTAAAGAATGAGAATATCACCTGTAGTTTTTCCTTTGAGATGAAACCTAGTTTTTAGTTATATCATTACTTAAAGGGCTTAAAAAAGAAAAAGCAAACTTTTGAATGTTTCTTTTATTGCTATTTACACATACATACACACATTAAAAAAACCTTTAAATTTTTGGGTCTAAATAGAATTCTAGTAAACAGCTCTCTTCATTTTTCTCCTCTAAAGAACTTCTTTCATTTGTTACATAAAATATAAGGAAATCTTTGAGCTATTTTACAGTAACCAGAATCTGAATATTTACATATACCCCAAATTAACTTATGCACATATATTAGGATGTGAGAATATCATGTTTATGGACACATAAAACCTTCTAATGACCTGGAATTGTTAGAATATTTGAGTTTTTATATGCAAAGTGTTTCAGCCAAGTGACTTGTCTAATATTTAAACATATACTGTCACAATTTGTGATGAAAATATTAGCACATTTGGAATAATGTTTCTCCGTAACAGAGAATGTTAATGGATACCAGAATTTTATTTTTGTATTTATGTTCATAGTACTTTTCCTTTTGTCTACTCCAGTCAGTCATTCCATAAAGCATCTTGTATAATTAAACGGAAAACAGAAAAAGGAAAAGTAGGCAAATGTGAAAATAGTTTCAATATATTTTAGGATTTCTGTATGTAAAGTGTTTTGTTGAACTATATGGATAGTGACTAAATGCTAGAATTTATGGTTATAGTTGGTATCCTTTTAAATGTGGAAAGGCTTTTAAAAATATTTTAAAACTGGACTTGTATTATCCTGAATACACTATTTTGAAAAATTTTAAAAATAACTTCATTTTGCTTTAGCATATATTTATATGTGATTGACATATTAACTTACATTTGAAAGAATTCAACCATAAATTAAAACGTAAGGATTTCTTTATCCTGTTACATGCATGTCTGAAGATTTCCTCGTCTTGTTATGTAAATCACATGACTCAAGCTCATAAACGAACTATGAAAGATATCAATCAGCTTATGGTGTAAACGATCGTTGACATGTGATTTCAAAACATAGTATTCTTTTAAAATGTCATGGTTGGGTACTGTGGCTCATGCCTGTAATCTGTAATCTCAGCACTTCGGGAGGCTCAGGCAGGCGGATGACGAGGTCAGGAGATCGAGACCATCCAGGCCAACATGGTGAAACCCCCTATCTACTAAAATACAAAAAATTAGCTGAGTGTGGTGGCGCACACCTGTAGTCCCAGCTACTTGGGAGGCTGAGGCAGGGGAATTGCTTGAACCTGGGAGGCGGAGGTTGCTGTGAGCTGAGATTGCGCCACTGCACTCCTGCCTGGTGACTCCATCTCAAAAAATAAATTATAATATGGCAAAGTACACTTTTTTTTTTTACAACATTTTAGTAAATTAATTTCATTTATTTACTTTGGAGCTATATTTCAACTTAGAAAAACTAAGGTAATTTTGCAATATATGCCAAGATTAAAAACCAAGATTAAAATACTTGAACATCTATGAAGTTGAGTCTTAGATTTAGTGAATTTCACACGAAAGTAAATCATCTGAAGAATTTCCATCTAGAGCATGTAGGGGCACAATTTTTGTAAATGCTTCACAATTAGCATCTAACTAAAACAATACAGTATGACTTTATTTAGGAGAAGGCTTTTTATTTAGAAAATTACTTTTGCATTTTTATAGTGTATCAGCTGTATCCATTTTCCTCACCTGGATAGTCAAGTGTTATCTGAGCAGTTCAAAGAGTAACCAAGACAACCTTATGTAATAACTTTCCATTTTTTATCAGTGCCCTAGATTCTAATGCTATAAACGTCAAACGTCACTGCCTAACATAAATTAAGACTCGAGCCCAGAGACTCTATATCTTGCCTTCTTGAGTGCTAGTTAAATGCTTAGATTTACCTAACTGCCTAATGAACAAGGCTATTTATTAATAAGATTATTTTTCAAATTATTCAAGACCTTTATGCCCCTTCCAATTACTTGTGATTTGTAGGCCCCTAGGATTGCTGCATCTAATCTGACAGGCGAGATAAAATTTCATCAAATACTATAATACCCATTTTTTTTCTTTTACACTAATGCAGCAGAGCATATCATTTTTGTTTTAAACAATGGTCAATATATTAACTGGATTTCTTTCACGCTATTTATAGTTTCTATAATCAAGCATTGGGTATTAAGACAGAATCCTTTCAACCCTTCATTTCCATATGCCCCTATAATAAATTACAATGAGTGTTTTCTTTGTGCTTGGACTGGTACTAGGAACCTCGAGAAAGTCACATAACCCTAAATAAGTTTCAATCCAGTAAGAAATTTGGCACCTCTCATGAGAAAACAGTTCCAACAGTGAAGCTGCCAGTATTTACTTCCTTATTTAAGATTACTTTTAGAGTTTGCCTAAAATGGAAGAAGTAGTGGAGAGGGGATACTACTGTAATGCAGCCCTAACATGGAGGGTAGGTTTTGCAAAAACCATCATTGGGGACTAAATCTTCTACATACATTGCAAAATTGTCAGTGGACAATGACTGCTCCTTTTAAAGCACTGCAACTCAAGATATCATATTTATGATGAAATTTTAACGAAGACAATCGACAATTGGGAAGTGAAATAAAGTCACAGCTGAACCCCACATGGAAAGCAGTGTCTCTATGCAAACAGAATCTGCACCACCCCATTCTTCACCAAGCTTTCATAGTAGTATGACATTTTCTGCTAGAGACACAACTGTAACTCTTAAGCAGCCAGATGTCGAGTTAAGTAGTTTCCTGCCTTCTAACTGAACTGTGGTTAGTAGTTCTACTTCCATTGTGTGTCTGTCTGTCTGTGTATGCTCTCAATCCCTCATCACATCCCATTTAGTGTCCACTGAAAAAACAAGCATTAATGTAGTTGTGACCATGAAGAAATCATTTCAGATAACCATCCTTTGACACATTACTAACATGGGGTAAAGATATATGTGTTAAAGACAAAGTATAGCTCTGCAATTAGGTGTTCACTTCCAGGCAGGTCTTTGTGTGAGGATTAGTTGAGAATGTAATTATTAGGAAAATGGTGAAAAGCAAATTCAAACAAATTCTAAGTTTAGCTTGAAAAATGGAAAAGGTTCTTAAGTTCTGTCTGATGCATAAAGGGGTAGAAGCAAAGGAATTATGCTCCAAAGCCAAGAAAGAGGGTGTACAAAAGCAGCTGATCCACTTGACATAGTTCATAGCCTTTTGCAAAAGAATAAAAGCCTGTTGAGCAGGGAACCAAAAGATCTCATTATAGGATGAAGCCAAGCCATATTAAAGCTTGTGCACTAGTAACTATGTCTAAAAACAGCCTGCTGTTTTATATTGAACCAATACATTTCTTAACTTGGTAGGTTGCAGTGTAAAGATGTACAGAGCCTGTCTGCTGGATGCTATGCCAATTACAGATGTGGCAGAGTGGTGTCAAACACCTACAAACAGTTAGATCGCAAGTAATCTTAGAGTGAAACAAAAGAAGTTTTAAAATGTCACCTCAAAACCCAGAAAGCACAGTTCATCATGTGTGTTTGACTCTTAGAGTCTTGAAATCACCTTTATTTTATAATTTTATGTGGACGTCATATGATCCCTCAATCAGAATCCACAATTCTTTCAAGGAGATGAATAGTGCCTGAGAGATAAGGAGAATATCTTTTAAAAGTAACACCTTTAGATGACAAGTTGTCTCTGATCAGCTCTGCAGAAACTGTTTTATTTGTGCTGAGGTAAAGGAGGAGTAAAATACCCATGAATCCATATTATATTAGATGTTGTTAGATCATCAAAAAGAATAATTGGGCATATTTACACAATTGTATTTTAGTAAACTGTTATGCCAGCTTAACTATAATACATATTCTGGTAAATGTACATTAAATAACAATCCAAAAGTAATTTAGCCGCTGAGGACATTTTTTAAATCTAATTATTCACAAATTAATGAATAAAATTAAATTCCAATCACTGAAGAAAATGAAGCAATGGTGAGAATCAGAAGTACAGATTAGTTAAAGCAAAGATATGCAATGCATAACAGAATTAAAGCATTTCTTTTATTCAAACTCGGTGCTTAAAAAAGAACAAATCCATCATCTTGAAATTTGACTTGTAGCTTGACATTAAAAATAATATGAGTGGAATTTTCAGTGGGGTAAGCACAAAACTAGTTCAAGTTGTGTCACTCTCAATTACTGTACTCAGGTGGTGTACCCATTAAAATTCCCACTTGTGGGTTCCGTTCACTATGCAAATGGGGTCATTACCTGGAGAATTTAATTGGTTATGACACTGGGAGTAGGACTTTTCCTTTCAAAGTAAACCTACTAACACACATTTTCACTAGAAATTTGATTGTTATATATACTTTGGATTGTTCTGCTCTATAAACATTTACAAAAATTAGACTGTCCTTGTTTACTTATTTTTTACAAATAATTAAAAACAGGTCCAAATTAATATGATATGGTTTATTTGTAAGTCTAGTTAAAATGAACCTTTTGTAAGTCACATTGCTTACCAAAACATTATTTTTTAAAAAGTCTTTGTGTCTTTCGGCTGTTCATCAGATGTGGGTACATTTCCAGCAATGTTTTTCATCATTTAATAGTAACATTTTCCCTTTTATAATAGTTCTAAATATTTAATTTGAAAGGTTTCTTCTATTTTTCTCCTTTACTGTCACTTTAAAAAATATTAAAGGATTAGTGTACCCTTAGATTATATATGAAATATACAATATGTAATATTGCTGAGGAGTCATGTCCATAACACTTTCAAGGTCTTTATATTCACTGATAGCACTGAATGGGGGCATTTTGCTGTCAGAGTCAGTACTAGAGCCATGACTGTGAGCCATGAGACTACTAAATTTATAGTGAACAAACAACAAATTGGTGTGAAAAGCACAGGGCTCCATACAATTTTAATTGATTGTGACAACTTAAACTGGAGAATGCTAAGTTTATTAGCCACCCAACAAGAATATTGATAACGGCCTGAATTTACAAAAACACTGAAATTACAGTGTGGTTTACTGGATATGATATTGAACTGAACATCCAAGAATTTAGTTCCTAGATACTGACTCGAAGAGCAGTTCCCAGACTGAACTTGAAGTAGGAACAGAGTTGCTGTAAGTATTAATGGAATAATCTCAGGGAAGTACTAATAGTTTCTTAAAAGAGAGTTACACAGTCTAAATTTTTATTACTACATCAAGCTGTACAACAAGCCAAGTTTTTATCACTAGTTTATCTGGACCTAAAGGGAACATTTTTCCTTTAATGTAAAAAGGAAATCTGAGAAAATAATTCCAGGGATATAGAAAAGGAAATACTATAAATTTATAACTGGACCATTGGGCAGGATTTTTAACATCTGTAACTATGGGGAATTTCCCATAGAATATCAAATATGGATCCAAGTCTCTGACATTCATTTTTCTATGATATTTCTAATTGTGCCCGGAGGATAAGAAAGAGTTGGCGCATCCAATAAATATAATCATTTACATGCACGGAGCTCCCTTTGAAGTTAATAGGACCTATGGAAAGGGGAGTTATGCACCACGAAAACGAAGTTCAACGTGAAGCTAGTTCTTTCTTTTTAACATGCAGTGGTATTACCAATGCATTTGGATTTTCTTGCTGCTTATCTTTCCTTTGTGTGTGATGTTTAAGTTGGAGTTGAGTGAAGTGCTCCATGTGTAGAGGAAAGATAGCCCAAAAAAGAGGATGTAGTGATTGGCAGGCTTACACCCAGGGACAGCTTTAGGAGATAGCAAAAGTGATAGGTTTGACACGTGTAGAGCTTGTTTAACTTTTCAGAAGAAAACCGTATCCTTTTTCTCATTTGATCTTCACAAAATTATGATTCTTCTAGGATAGGCATTTTTACTTCCATTTTACAGATAAAAAAATTGGGACAGATTGTTTACATTTACTTTTTAAAGTAACAGCG